CGATTACCAATGCTCTGGTAATCGATTACTTTGAAGACAGAAGCTCAATTTTTCGTTCCTTGTTGCAGGTAATCGATTACCAGTGAAAAGTAATCGATTACTATGCAACAAAAATGACAGATGACAGCTTTTAAGACCCAAAATGAGTGATGTAACATACTCCTAACACCTTGATACTTATTATACACCTTACACAAGTATTAACGTAGGCTCTAGGCCCTTCCATCATGCATATTCATTAATCAATGCATCATTACAACCATTTGCAATATCATAGCAATTTTACACAACCAATGGTCCATTTACAACTCAAGTCTTCCAATGCCTCAAAATACAATTATGTGGCCATGGACAAGTCCCATGCTCACTCAAGATACAAAAATAACAAGAGGCATAACTATACATCAATTTTTAAAGGACTTAGCATATAGTCATAATATACAAAAGCAAGGCAATATCCACATGCAACAAGTTCATATCCTAAGTCCAAAATATCACATACTACATTATGTACATCAAATGGACTCTTTCAATATGTCATGCTCTCCAAATGCGCCTCACGCTCTACTCTTCCACTAAGCGGGCCTCTTGCCCGAAGATCCACCATGCTCAGCAAGACCTGAAATGATGTCCCCAAACGCGGGGTGAGATATACAAATATATCTCAGTAAACTAAGGGTACTAGAGGATCACTCCACCCCATGGCTCACTCAATGTGCATACAATGATCATCATATAAAATGCATAACATACAATATCACATAACAACAACTGGGCACAAATCCAAGGACATCCACATCAGGATTCCCTTAAAGGACCCCATCGTATAACTCCCGGAATCTTCCTGGTGCCTCTCTCATGGTTGAGACGACCCCATGGCAAAACCCAACTGGAACTCCTCATGAGCCCTATCCAGCGGAAGTCCCACGTTTGGATCATCCTGGTACCGCTCACAGAGTCGGTTCCACGGCAAAACCCGACCGGAATCCCCAAAGGATATCTCTACCAGAAGTCCAAACCAACACACATCTACTGGCCAGAGATCACAATTATATCACACAACATGCTCAGAGCATGTCACACAATCATGTCAATAATGCATGAACATACATTTATACATAATCAAAGGCATCAAATCCAACCACAACCTTCCACTAGGTGTGGTGGAACACATGAGGGAATAAAACCCAAGTTCTAAAGGTTTACCTCATTCTGAAGCCAATGCTCGTCAACGTAAGCTCCAAGCTTAATTCTCCTCTATTGAGTCCGAGAGGGGAAACCTATAATGATCAATCAACATGATCATCAATACAATTTCAAGACAACCAACTCACTTTCAAAATACAATAATTCTCAACAAAAAAACTTAGGCCTAATGGCCAATTACATTTACTCCAATTACTTCAACCATTTTAGTCCTTAAACTAAATCACCATTTATGCACTAAGGCATCACTCAATGGTTATACCACATTTTCACATCATTTTCCTTATTTCCTTCAATATGGTTGAAATCTCACACACACAACACATCCAACATTTCTCCTTTCAATTTCACTACATCAAACCAACCTACCATTCATTTAAACACCAACCACTATCATATAGCATCAACTATAACATTTTTGCATCATCTAACCATCCATGACCTCAATAGGTCGAATTCTTCATTCCCATCAACCTAGGGGTATTCAATCCAATTCCACACTCATACTCATCATATAATCGTATTATTTACACATTACCAACCATCGATTGTACACATTTTTCACCTCCATAATTCCTTCCAACCATTACATGGTTCGAATTCCTCACTAGATGGTACTCCCAAGGTTTTTCATCCATTCTAACAATTATGCACTTCATATAATCCTACCATTTATTCATACCAACCAACAATCAAAAATTTTCAACCAATACATTCATGATCACAACCCACCATTTCATCAATTTCCACCAAATTTCACTAAGTTATAAAATTATATATCACCATAAATTTTATTGGTTCAATCATCATTATTCATCATTACAAGCAACAATTTATAAAGGAGTAACATCATTAAAAGTTCCTAAACATCACATTCATCAATACCTCATTAAACACAAACCCAAATTGTGATTTCCACAAAAACTCCATGAAACTAGGAATACTTACAACCAATAGCTTCCTAAGGCTCCAAACATTAATGATCAAGGGTCCATTCAAGCCAAAGCACCACCAATGGCCCCCAAACTCCTCAAAACCGCCACCCCATCACCAAGGAGGATCTCCTCACACACTCACTCTTTGGAAGATTTCTTAGGATGAAAGGTGATCACAAGGGGTAGAGGAACAACTTTGATGTTGGGTGTTTTGTGGTTGGGTGGCTAGAGAAGGGAGCCCCAAAATCCAAAGCTTGGAGCCCCTTCCATGGAAGAACACGCGCATGGGGAGAGAAGAGAGGGAAGAGAGAGAAAATGAGGGAAAACATGGGTCATGAGTAACTTAAGTGATTTAGTTCCTTAGGTGGGTCCCACACGCGATTTAACTTTAATCAATTACTAATTTCAACCACAAATTCATAACCTACGTATTTTTTTGGTTCATGACATATTTTTGTTTCCTAAAAATACTGATAAAAATTTCACTCTTATCGGTACCATTATACCGCAATATTTCTACACCAGTAAAATTACTATTCATCAAAATTTTCAAAACTTGCCTATTCACTCGATTTTTCGTCCTGAATCCATTTCCGGCATTATTTGTATCATTTGAGGTCTTCTACTCAATTTTTTATGCCTAGGGATACGTGTTTGGTAAATTACCATTTTGCCCTTTTACTCAGTTTGGCCTTAATTTCTGGATTTTCACTAATCCTTCCCTTTTGACCCACATTATAGCATATAATTTCATATTTAGATTTACGAGGTGTTATATTAGAGCTCTTTGCATTGGTATATACCTCTTCGGGGGCAATAAGTGTAAAGTAAAGATGGCTAAACAATCACAAACAATTACACAATAGGGGGTGAATTGTGTTCATGATTAAGCTCTTAAGGATTAATCATAACATCAGATTCTGCCGGAGCATGTTAGTGATTATTTTCCCTTCATTTTTGAGGTACAACGTCTTTTGATCCTATCAGTCTACCACGCTTCAATTGTGGTGGATTTTGATTCATTTCAGCATGTTCTTCAGGAAAAGCTATCCTAGCTAAAACATTTGCAGCTAGAGTATAAGACTTCGTTACCTTAACAACACCATTAAATGCATCAGGAAGTCTATTGGCCATAACATGCAAATAAATTATACGTTGTACCTCATTTTCACATTCACGAGTTCTTGGGTCTAATTGAGATAAATTTGTTGTATTCCAGGAGATATCCTCAAATGGTTTCTTATTTGCAATCATTGTATTCTCAGGTGTTCCAACTTAGGGGAACAATATCTCATCAAAATGGCAATCGACAAATCTAGCCGTAAATAGATCACCACTAATAGGTTCCAAAAACCTTATAATATATGGTGAATCAAAGCCAACATAAATCCCAAATGATATTTGGGACCCATTTTTGTCCTTTTTGGTGGTGCTACAGGCACTTGAACCGCACATCCAAAAGTGCGTAAATATGAAACATTAGGTTCATAGCCAAGAACCATTTGAAGGGGAGATTGTAATAGACTAGCAGTATGGAGCAATCTAATTAAAGCTGCCACATGCAAAATTGAATGAACCTATGCTGGAATATTGAGATTTGTTCTCAATAATAGAGTACGAGCAATAATTTGAAGGTGTTTAATCAATGATTCCGCCAATCCATTTTGAGTATGAACATGTGGGACCAGATGTTCAATCTCAATGCTAAATAAATCAAAATATGCATAAAAACTTTTTGATGTAAATTTACCAGCATTATCCATCCTTATGCTCTTGATGGGTAATCAGGAAATTATGCTTGTAACTTTATAATCTGTGCATGTAATCGTGCAAAAACAGCACTGCACGTTGATAATAGGCAAACACGAGACCATATGCAATATGGGTCAAATAATACCGTAAAATATCTAAATGGTCCACTTGATGGATGTATTGGGCCACAAATATTACCCCGATTTCTTTGCAAGAATAAAGGCGATTCAAGATGAACCTTTTGTCATAGAAGGTTTAGTAATAAACTTTCCTTGCGAACAAGCTTCACAATTATAATCTTTGGATAACAATATCTTTGTATCCTTCAAAGGATGTCCCTTTGTATTATGGATTATTCTGCGCATCATTGTAGCGCTTGGGTGACCAAGACAATCATGCCATAATCAAAATTCATCGGGATTTATAAATTTTCGTTGTATGGTAACATATGTTTCAACTGTCTTAATCATGACATAATATAAACCCATTTGAGAAGCTTCTAGCTTCTCATGGATGGTCTTTTGGCCTATCTTAAAAGAAATAATAATGACAAGATATTCCTTATTTTGTTATGAAATCGTCTCAATATGATACCCATTTCAGTGTATATCCTTTAAACTAAGCAGATTCTTTCAGATTTATTGCTTAGGAAAACATTCTCAAGATGCAGAATAGTATTATTCGCTGATACTGTTGTGACATTTCCAAAACCATCAATAATCTCAATAGGATTCGATATTGTATGAATATGTGTTGGTCGCAATGTCATATTTGAGAAAATATATTTATTACGAAATATGGAATGTGTTGATCCACTATCAAGCAGACATATATCCATATTTTTCTCAACATTATCCATTTGCACTTATATTGACAACTACAGGTGTCATATAACATAATATTCGTATTAGTTATAGAATAATAAAATATGAACAATTAAGACATATTATATAAACATATAAGCATTTCATTCATAACCAAATAAAATAGCAGAAAATAAAAAACATAATAAGGAAATTCAATAGGAAGTAAATAATAAAAATGAACAAACAAAATAAAATATTGCAAAATAATAATGCAAGCACCTATTTTCAGTCTGATGCTTAATTAGATCATTTGGAGGTCTTCAAAAAAATCAGTTACATCTAAAGATGTATTTGATACTTCAGGAGCATGAGGAGTCCCACCAACAAAAGTATTATTGGTCTTAGCAGTGGGCTTAATTTCAATAGCGTGAGATTTACCACGCTCACCTTTCTTTTTCGCAGATGCTTGATATAAATCAACAAGATATTTTGGCGTACGACATGTATGCAACCAATGTCCAATAATGTCGCAACGATAGCAGACACTATCATTGACCAATTTCCTTTCATTTTCCAATTTCATTTCCTTTTTCCCTTTATCATGATTTAGGCCAAAATTGGCCTTTCTAGGGCCGTTAAATTTTCTACCACTCCTATGATGATAATTTTCTTGCCTGCGATCATAGCCCTTAAAACGACTAAAATTTGTCATTGAATTAGCATATGCTTCAGGCAATGCTTTTGAACTCGCATGCCTCAAATCATGATTTTTCAATAATAACTCATTGGTTCGTTCAACAGTCAAGAGCATTGAGATTAACTCGAAATATATGGCAAATTGGCGTAATATTAAATTAGAAGCATGAAAGGCGAAAAAAATTTTCTCTAGCAATTCTGCATCAGTTAGCATTTTATCACATAACTCAAGTTGTGAGACAATATTGTAACACCCTGTATGCACCCGGTGCATTAAACATATAAATGGTAATAGCGCAACTCAATAAATGCAGAAGCTAAATTTTTTCAATTATGAAACTTATTACAATTAACCAAGTGAATTTACTTATTCTTTTTCAAAATATCGTATGTATGTAAATGCAATAAATAACTACACTGAATAATCTCATAGTATAAATAAGTATCAAGTCATAGAACTACAATACGTAGACCAGACAATACACTGATACAACATTACAACTCAAGTCTAAATTAAACATAGCTTATACCAATGTGGCATGGACAACTTCCATGCTTACCAAATAGAACAACATAGTAAGATCATGTCTCGAATACAATATCCATATAATAAAAATCAGTCATAATCATATCTAACATGCGAGTAAAAATATGCAACATATCAGCTCAACTCTGGCCTCCTGCCACCAGAGGTCTCAGCCTCAAGAACACCTGTACCTGAAAATATGCCCCACACGGGGTGAGATTTCTAACAAGAAATCTCAGTAAGGCAAGGAGTCGTTAAGGACTCTTCCGCCCCAAACTCACTTACAAGTGTATAATAAGTTCAGAAGCACTAAGTACAATGCATGTTCAATGTTAGGGCAATATAATTATGACAATGTATCCAAATACTCAGAAAGTCATGTACCGCAGTTCATATCTCATGTGATGTATGCAAGTGCGGTTCAACTGGCCAGAGAACAGGATAGGCATTACGCACGTCTGCCACCTACCAAAACATGAGGGTTGTTGCCCTATGCCTTACACACCAGGGTTGCTGCCTGATCATGTAAGTACCCAACATCACATCCATACATTAGATCAACAAGCATATCCACATATCTCAGGCATATAGCAATGCATATATCATTTTCATAAAAGCATACCATGCATATAAATCACCCCCCCCATGGAGGTCGGTGGAACAAGCAACAGATCAATCCGAGGACCAGAAGCTTACCTGTCAAGCTAAATCCTCCCTCATAACTCGGTGTCCACAGGGTCACAAGTAATAACAAGGTCCAACAAAGTCAAGGATCTGTTTTCATAACATTCACATCGTCAATATCCATAGTCTAGAATTTCATTGCATTAGGACACCGTTTCCTTTTTGTTTAATGATTATCGGCTTCTCCCAAAGCCTTAACAATGGGTTATTTCACTTTTATCACTTGAACACTTCTAGGACAAGCCCACACTGATTCATTGAGTTCCTATATTGTATTTAAGGCTTCCCAACTTGTTAAAATTGGTTTTAGGCTCAATCTACCAAGAGTATTCGAATACTCCTCGATAAGTATTCGAATACTTCTTGTTCTTAGAAAAGTATCCCAATACTTTTACTATAGTATCCGAATACCACTAAGTATCCCAATACTTTTACTAAAGTATCCGAATACCACTAAGTATCCCAATACTCCATTATAAGTATTCGAATACCAAAAGTATCCCAATACTTGTACTAAAGTATTCGAATATTGTCATTCCCATAAAAGTATCCAAATACTTTTATAAAAGTATTTGAATACCAAAAGTATCCCAATACTCCACGAAAAGTATTCGAATACTTTTCAGACAGAATGCAGAAACTCTAATAGTTTCTGCATAAACTTGATTTTAAGGGTTCCCCAATGGTTCTAAGTCTAATTTCTCCATAAATAGAAGTTTATTACCACTTACTGAACATAGATTAACAACCCTTAACTTAAACAATCAAAGTTCTTCTTTTTAAGGACTCACACCTTAAGGCTTTTGAATACAGAAAAAGGAAGTGTCTTGAATCTGTCCTCACCACCTTACAACTTTGACTCAACAAGGCCACGAATTTGGTCTCGCCACAATGTTCTTTCCTCCACAAAATCGTCTCTTGAAGCACTAGAGTGAGTGAAAATGGGCTTTACACTCTCAACCAAGAAGTCAGCAACTTAACCCCCACAAACAAAGTTCAAAACATCTCAAGAAGTGGTTTTTCCCCCCTCACCAAGTCTGCTCTCAAGTGTTTACAAGATTAGAGAGGAAGAACCAATAGAAAAGGTGGTGTCTTTGGTGGTTTCTTGCATGGAAGGCTATGGGGTTCGGTGGAAGAAGGTGGCAACAATGAGGGAGTGCAATGCAGCTACGTAGGATTTGCAATTTCTGACCTATGGCTGTGTGCAAATTCCTATTTATAGTTGCACTTAATTAATCCATCGGTATTAGTTCTAATAGCTCCACTAATCATTTTTCTACCAAAGTTAATATTCTGAACCTAGACATTTTTCTATGAATTATCACATTTTTGTTATAATTTTCGAAGCACTTTGCCGATACGTGTTTTATACGTAGCCTCTATTAGTTCTGATATCACCGATCATTATTCTTATTCCAAACTTGATATCCTAGACCTAGATATTTTTTTAGAAATATTTATATTTTTATTCTAATTTTTCGGAATACTTCACCGGTACACACTTTTCATCAGAAAAATAATTTAAGCATTATTTGTTCTTCTTGATAATTATTCTAATCTTTCTATATTTATCCAAGGTCAATTATTGAGTTATTTCTTAAACTCATAATTAATTTATTTAAATTCCTAATTTATCGGTGCAGGTTCTTACAAATATCAAATAAAGCAAAATTATAATCAGACATTGATTTAAATCTTGCAGCATGAGATGCTTCCAATCATACTGTGCTTGAGGAAGGATGACAGTCTTAGTATGATCATACATATCTTTCAACCTCTTCCAAAGGATCTGCGGGTCTCGAACAGATAAATATTGAGTCTATAGGCTCACATGCAAATGACGATGCATAAAAATCAGTGCATTTGCTTTATCCTTTTCATTAGAAGTTCCAGTTTTTGTAATAGTATTCACGAGACGTAGCCCTTGTATATGCATTTCCATATCAAGGCACCAAGACAAATAATTACTTCCATTCACTTCAAGGATGTGGAATTTGGGTTTTTCAATGTTTGCCATAACATTGTCAATATTATACCAATTGCTACTTCAAGAGCAGGAATAATAAAAATAAAAAGAGAATGGGTAAAAGAAGATAAATTGAAATTGATAAGAAAATACCAACCTTGGAGATGCAAAATTGCTCTTCCCTTTGTGGATATGATAACCTTAGTTTGATATGGCATAGACTATCGTGTAAAGGGAGAGAATAACAAAATGAAGGATTATGATAATGAGTGTACAACGGTGCAGAGGTCTCTTATATGATATGGTAGAGGCTATCGTGCTGACAACGTGTTCTAAAATGGAAATAGATGTAAGAGAAATGAGTGTATTGAGAATTGATTACAAAAAAATACATAAAGCTCCTATTTATAAAAAAAGAAAATTTTACTATTTGCACAGTAACCGTGAATTGTAACTTCACTATTTGCACAATAATCGTGAATAGTAAACACTTCGGTGAACAGTAAAGTCGTCGTATGAACAATGATCGTATGAATAGTACCGTATGAATAGTAACCTCACAAATTTTAACCTGTATTCAAATGGTTACACTATTCATCATAGATAAGGAGATATAGAAGTGGGGAAAGTGAAACATCCATAAATGTATTTCACAACAAATGAGAGTTTTTTCATTATAAAAGCTATTTTTACTTGTTAGTAATATGCATGGGTATAAACATAAAAAATCTATTGATTAATTTTTTTAGGGCACGAATAACTTTTTTTCAGCATTCTTGTAAAGAACCATTTCAATCCAAAATTGTAAGGTGTTGGGTGAGGGCTTTTTAATGATTTACATTATTTTCTAAAACATCCTCTCATGAAAGAGCCCTTTGGGCCTGAAGGTGGATATTACATAGGTCCAATTTTTTGTTTTACCTTATGTTTATTTTAATTTCACTAGAAAGTGAGGGGGGGCAAGGATCGAACTCGTGACCTTGTGGTCACTGAAGCTCGGATACCATGTAAAGAACCGTTTTAACTCAAAATCTTAAGGTGTTGGGTGAGGGTCTTTTTAATGGTTTATATTATTCTCTAACAATTATTTTCAAGCTTTTTTATTCTTTGTTATTTCAAAACTTTTAAATTTTTACTATAAGAGAAATAGTCTTAATCCAAACCCATACTAAGTGGGATGTAAGGTCCAGTCCAATAATAGCCTAAGAAGTCCAAGGATAAACACTTAAGAAGTAAGGAAACATGTATGCCATGTGTGCACGCAATTCCACACATGCACAACTAGGATTGGCAGCAGTACATAGCTCATAAGCCCCCTTAATAGCCAATGGCCAAGAGACACACATAAGATTCCAACTAAGGCTATGATCATAGCTCACCAAAAACATCCTGCAAACGGGATAGGCTGACAAAGCCACCACAATCCACCAATAAGAATACATGCCTCCATACCAAGGCGTCATAAATAGGTCATGTCGTTAATATAAAAGTAAAGCTCAAAGCCCATATATGATCATCTCTACTAATTTATTTAAGCTCATTACTCAAACACTAACTTCAGCATTAGAGCGCCTCGGAAGTGTCCTCATCTATCCCACGCAAGCAGATCTCTCCAACACCTTTTCAACCATCTCACAAACTAATCTCGAATAATAGCCAAGCTTATCCCATCATAATCATCCTTTAGGCACTTCTTGGACTAGGCTTAACCATGTATGGTCAGACCCAACTTCTCTTGGATTTTAAAAGTTTTAATTCACTTCATACTTGTTTTAATAATTTTCTACATAAAAGCAATTTTTAATATAGTCAAAACAAAATAATATTCTTGAAGTCTTTGTCAAAGTTATAAATTGTCTCCTTTAATTTCATTAGGCTTTATTTTTCTCCCAGAACCATATGTTTATTTATTTTGTTCACAGATTTTTTCAAAACTTATTATATTCATCCAACATATATTTTGTTTTAAATTGTTAACGAATTGTACTTACATGCAATTCTATAGGTGTTAGTGTGTTACAGTTCACATTTGATATTG